TATGATTACGAATAACATTAGACATAGAATATACTTCAAAGACAGAAAATTTTGAATAATATTGTTATTTTCTTTACATTTTGACAATTTTTTTTTTTAAATTCGTCAGGCCCGCAACTAGACCCGCGGCTTGCAATCGTGTTAGCATTTTTCGGCCCGCAGCCCGCAATTTTTGCCCGCAGCCCGCAATTTTTGGCCCGCAGCCCGCAATTTTTGGCCCGCAGTTTCGGCCCGCAGTTTCGGCCCGCAGCCCGCAACCCGCAGAATAGTTAAACTCGTGCTAATGTCGACAATCCTGTAGTGAAGATGGTCCTCGAATTTTGGCATATAAGTTTGTCCGAAGGTTTTAGACAGTGATAAAGCTATGTGATCGGCGATTATAACGAGCACACAATTTTTATCGGCTATAGCCCTTAAAGCAATAATTATACATCCACGTAACTCGTAAGCAAAATAAGCGGCCCACCGAAAACTAACTCGCTGTAACAGTGTATCCTGCATGTTGAGAATGAGTTGAAAATTTACACACTTTATTTATATAAAAGTAAAGTTTTGCAGTTTTCGTATGTATAAGTTTGAATTATTCAAGTGTTAAAAATAGTTATTAAACTGTTGCTTGAATTAAGAGACTGCTATGTGAACTGAACTCAATATTTAGAATATTTAGTTTTAGTATATAGTCAATAAAGCTTCCTTGTGAGGTGTGTGCCCAGAAAATAGAAATGGCTGTCATATTAAGGGCGAGGTTAACACAGCAACGCTTGTCAATCAGTCCGCAAGTTACATTGAATTTCAGTCCGAATTTTACTTGATCGAATTTTAAAGTGAATTTCTGCAAAATATCCGACAAAATCTGCCATGTGTTTGTGTTCACAAGAAGCCGCCAAGTATTCCACCACGCCGGAGCTATTTGAAAACAGTGTAGAAAAGTCACAAGAAGCCATCACTTTCACACTACGCTGGAGCAAAATCATTTGAAAACGTTCACATCACTTTTGCCGTAACAATTTGAGCACAGTTTCTAAACGGAGCGAGGTGAAAACGAGCTCTTGATAGCTTTGTGTGAACACAAACATGTAAACTCGAATGCTTTTCATTTAAATTTCTTGGCTCTATTTGAAATATTTTGGGTTTACATGAGTGCTAATTTAATTTGTAAACACTGTAGGGGGGTATGGATCTATTCTGGAATGACCCAATCACATAATTTCTGTGCCTTCTTCACTATGATTGGCCAAACGTGCCTAAATTTCCAATGAAAACATTCACATTTCTGCTTCACAACATTTAAATTTGCCCTGGGTAACTTGTGCATTTCAACGAGCTGCGTGGCAAAACTTCCTGTCTATGTAATGTTAAGAACTATCAAATTTTTAAATTCTACTACACTGCTAATCGGGCTGTCCAAGCGGGCCAGTCCGGCTCCAATATAAACAGCCCCTAAGTCAAACAGAAAACCGATGGCTAAAACAAAACCTGACCCCCAATCTCGTTTCACTTTGCATGCATGCAACGCCTTTGCCAAATACGCTACCAGGCTGAAAGCTGTTGCAAAAAAAACTGTTTTATATTACTACTTTACAAAATGTAATAATTGGATAGTATACTTCAGTTCGATTATTAGTTCGATATTAATAATTATTTATAAGCGCTATTATACAAGAAATGTCAAGAATGAATTTTTCTTCAATGGTTGCTTTTTATCGGTCAAAAGTTTAATATAGTTTTGATAGGAGAAATGTTTCTCAACAATTTTCAGAAAGTTTTACAAGATTTTGGGGCTTGTTTTGAATTGGGCTATTCCATTTAAAAGATGTAACCCCCCTATTGAGGACAATGGTTTTACCATATTCCTGAAGAATTGTTGACATAAAAGAGATCCCCTGAAGAATTCCTGTTAATTAAATAGCATTTACCCCGGACGAAATCAATATTTACCCCTGAAGAATTACAATTTTTACATCTGACCCCTAAGGAAATTGCATTCAAAATAACCAACCCCTGCAGAATTCCACAGGAGAATTTGTTTCCATGAGGAATTCCTGAGTTAAAAAGGGAGGTTATTGATATTAAATGGAATAGCCCAATTTTCTGGAGAATTTCCTGGTTGTTTTCCCTGCAGCTTGTTTATAAACATGATGATAATTTTCCAGAATTCTTGTCTGGTTCAATAGAAATTTTATTTCCCAAAGTTTTGAAATAAACAGAAGCGCAGATAATTTATTTATTGAACGTTCTCTGACTAAATATTTATTTCTACAAGCTTTCAGCTATCAGTCTATAGCCTTCGCCGGGTGTATACAAATGATTCTGTAAAGGTCTGTTGGCTCGCATATTATTAACACTGATGAACATCCGGGCTTACGGATCGAAAGCTTTGCAGTAATAAATTTATGTGGTGTTTCCACAAACAAAACTATTATATGTTTTATTGCCATGCAAACATACAAAGAACTTGTTGTGAGACAACTTTTTTACTCAAGTTATACATCTGTCTTCACTTAATCTGTGGCTCAGCTGGCTAGATCTTGATTTGCCTGTGGTCCCCCTTTGTATTTGACCCAAATGTTTCAGTCATTTTATATATGCCAATATAAATCATATTGGCATAGGAATTAAACAGGGTCTGAAATTTGCGGTATCCCGATATCCACGGGATACTGAAATTTGGTTTTGGATACTAAGTTTATTTTACTTGTATCCCGATGGGATACCACATTTTTTTAAAAAACGGGATAGCAGTTAATGTTTTAGTAGTCTC